ACAATTACAATTCGTCTGTATTGTGCTAGAAATGTTATATTTAAAAAAGTACTGTTACGATAAAGATACTAATTTTTCCGGAAATGTTTTGCGGGTCTCTGCTAGTTGTTATTACTACAATTCTTTATCATGGATGCTATAAAACTTGATTGGAAAAAAAACAGTCTGAATTTTGAAACGGAATTGTGTTTTGCAGTGATAGTAACTTATGTTCTTGATTAATCTAACTTTTCACACCCCAGGTACTTCAAACCTTACGGATATTACTGCTGCTCAAACCTCCAGCTCTCATGAGAGTTGCTCGCCAAATAGCATATGCAATGCATGAGCTCCTGGTGACTACAGCAGCAAATATCCACCTGTCCCAGGATTGGTCTACTTTATTCACTCTGATGGAGTGTGTGGGGGCTGGTTCTAAGCCTCCTCGAATCCTAAGTGGGCTTGAAGGAATGATGGAAGCTACAGAGGGTCTCACTGATGCAGGTACTGGTAACAAAGTTACTTTGTATTTGGTTTGTTATTCAAACCTCTTAGTGAAAATAATTATAAAACATAAAAAAAACATTCAGATTTAACAGTGTACAATTCTAAACCGGGGGAGTGTAGAACTTTATTTGGTGATAGATGTGATATTACATCACAATAAGACATAATATTTTATACATAATTCTACAGGTTGTACATAGGTTTTCACTAAGAACAGTGTATGATTGCATATCCACTACATTGTTTCTATTTTACAATTTCTGTTGTAATCTAATTGGCTTGATGAGCTTTTTTATCAAGTGTTAGGTTTAAGCAGCCACAGTGTACGAATGAAGTTTAGTGAACGTGCTTATTTCTATATTAGTAGTAATCATATTAATGCATAAAAAAAAAAAATGAAATCATTACTGAATTTAAATTTTTTTTAAATTAGGTTCGGAGATGATTATACACACTTTACTGTAACATGTCATTTCTATTAAAATCTAAAGATAAAATATCCCTTCCCAGTTTGGTATCGACAGAGCAACACGTACTTAACATTTCTGTAAAACTCAAGTATGTCGTAAATTTTCCATTATTTGGTATACAGTCACTTTTGTAGTTAAAAATAATAACCTTTTACTAAGTTTTTAGACTTTATGAAGATATAATTGATACTTGAAAATGTTGGAACTTGGTGAAACTCCATTGAGGGGTGGGGGGAGAACAAAGACAATTTTGCATTTCACAAATACTTCATTTATTAGCGACTATGGTTTTTCCTTTACTGGTGAAACCATGGTCTTTAAGAAATGAAGTATTTGGGAAATGTACAATTGTCTTTTTTTCTCTTCAATTCTGTAATTTATGAAGATATTTTAAACTTATAAAGGAATTAAAACCACTATGAGTAGGAGTTGGTTATAGTTTCCTACTAACACTAACTCAAAGGTTACATATACCTTTGTCATTGATATGATGCTACTCAAAGGTCAAAAGTTTTTCAGTCTGTTCTTTTGTAATATTATTTATTACTCAAAATCAAAACTAATAAAATACATTGCAATAGGTTCTTATTAATTTCTTCTATTATTATACCCTTAAATGACTATTTTTTTTTGTGTGTATGTGTTTTATTATAAAAAATGTGGTAACTTTTAAAATTAGACAAACTTTATCACCAAGATCAGGCTTGGCTTGAAGAGCTAATGCCCACTAATGGGTGTGTTGTTGTAAATGAAATGAAATCTGTTGCTCCAGGTGATTTAGAAAAAAGAGATACGATACACATTATGGACAGTAAAGTTCAGTAGTAACCAATGTCGGGTAAATAATAGGCCAGTTATATTGGTTTCTTTGAGAGCATGTGACAGAGGCCTGATGAATCTGCTAAACATATCTTATTTCATCACACGGGAGAAAGAAATGATGGACAGCTACTGAAAGTAATTACTGAATAGAATATATTGAAAAAAACCCACCTTCAATTTAATGTTTATATGTTGATAAATTGGGTTACCAAACAAAATACATACTTAAATTCATCATTTTTCAAAGTAGTTTTATGAAAATTTGTTATTTTTCTAGTTATTACAGCTAGACACAAGGAAAAAGGATAAATATGGTCAATTTTTTTTTCTTCTTCTTCTCAGAAAGCTTAGATTCTGATGAAAGTGATCTGAATTTTGGAACTTTACACATGAGTGTAAAATTCTAATTTAGGGTTAGAAATTTGGTATTTCTCAAGTACTTATTTATTTTTTGCTTATATGAAAAAAAAATTAAAATCTAAGTGAGTTTTGCTATATATATTATTTTTGGAATGGGGCAAAAAAACAATGTTGATGCTCATGGTGGCTAGGCTGGAGAAGGTTAAGCTTTGCATCATTAGCTGAGATACCAAAAAATTAGCATTACTGATAAAAAAAGATAAAGGTTTAAAAATATAGTTGGATTTTCATTGGTATTTGTATATACTTTATTTTTGTATCTATTAAAATATAAAACAAGGGATCAAACAGTAAGTATTCTATTTCCCTTCAGGAGCCCAGTCTGATAGTGAAATTGGTTCAGGACGAGATGCTCAAGACTCTGGCCAAGGTTCTGAACGAGGCTACACCTCTGACAGTGAGCTTTATGAAAGTCAGGGAGTCTTGAGTACTCCAAAGCATATCTTGCATAATCGGCTCAGCCTGGAAAGTGTAGGAGGTTGGATACTGGTAAGCAGTTTCTATACACTTGTATTACAGTACCCTTCTTCAAAGATATGAAAAGTAAAAAATAGTAGGTCTTTCTGTCTTACAGCATATATCACTTAAATTGAACATGATTACAGATGAATTGGGAATTATTAACAATGAGTAGAAATCTTTTTACTTGCCATGAATAAATTTAATATCAAGATAATTAATTTAGGAATTATTTTATTGCTATTCTTTGGCTTTAAAGGTCTTGTTGAGAGAACTGAATAATTAGGATAAAAGTTTGTAATATTATAATTAATAAGGTAAAGGTCAGAAGGTGTAAAAGTTAAAATTGGGCTGGTTGGATACCCCAAATTAATTCAGTTTTTGTTTTGTTTTTTACTAGACTGGAGAAGGGAAAGCTGGAGACTCGTAATATTTTTTATTCCTACATACAAACTTATTTAATAGAAAATTTTATGATTTATGAGTGAAGGTTACAGGTGTGATCATCAGAGGCATTGTACTTACTACGCAGGTTGGTAAAGAAGGAGAAATTGAGACTGTACAAGTTCGACCTCTGCCTGTGAACCAGTACAACATCATATTGGAGTGTGAACTTCAACCTCATGATCCAAATGCTTTTATGAAAGTCTGTGAATCATTATCATTTCTTATTCGAGATGTTGCCCACATTACTCCAGAGAACTTTGAAAGCTGTGTCCACTGTATCAGACTGTTTGTAGAAGCCAGCCTTAATGGAGGTATGAAGTTACTATGTTTGAATTGTATTTTGAGTGAAATTATATGACAAACGCTCTGTGATAAAGTTACTAGTAATTAACTGAAACAACAGTAGCATTCATTTAGTAGTTGTTCTGAACTTTATATGGTACAGTTGTTTATTTTGCGGCTATCCTTTTCTAGCCTGAAAATCTTTAGGTAAGAATATGTACCACATGGTAATGGAATACATGTGCCTGTGCATATTTAACACTGTCTCTAAACTTTGCTGTCATTTTAATTCAGGATATTGTTTTTCAATTTACCCACAAACATAAAGGTAGTAAACAACGTTTATCGTGAATCACGTAATGAGGTGAAAATGTTGTATTGTGATGGTAATCTTTAAGATACAAGGAAAAGGACTTATAAAAATGTTTGTTCACTTTTCTGACAATAGGTAACTCATCCTGGAAACAGTCAAAGGGACGAGACTGCAGGGACAAGAAGTTCACAAAAACAGGAAACAGAAAGAAAAGTGAGGTGGGAAGAATGAAAAAATCTCGATCCAGTCCCAGCCATGTTGTCCAAGGATATGATGCTGATGATGACGAACAAGGAGAGGAGTTTCCTTCAGGATATCAGGAAATCTGTATTCAGGCATGGTGTTATTATAGTTTAATATTTCTGAGGAAGAGGTTTTAACAGTCTTGGGAATTTTTTTAAGTGAAGTATTCTGACAAACTCTTCATGCTGTGGGTATAATTTTGGTGAGAAATATCATCTGTGTTTCTTTTTTAGTAATTAGTGTTGGTTTATTAGAGATTAATGTATGTATTGGAATATAACTCTAACGTCTACCTTCTTCAGAGATTTGTTATGCACGTATGTTTCTAATCCAAATCAAACTAATTTGTGCAGCTTCTGGACTTAATGCACACCCTACACACTCGTGCTGGGTCCATCTTCCAGTCTTGGGCAGCTGAACAAACAGTCTCTGTGGAAGAAGGCAGTGGTGTCAAAAGTGTGACTAACACCAGTTTATGGACAAGGTGTTGGTGCCCTCTTTTGCAAGGTTAGCGTTTATTAGAGAATCTTATTTTTGAACCTAGTAAAACTGCTGAAGTTATACAAAAGGTTAACATCTTCTTAGCCATTTTTCAGTGTGGATTTGTGTCAGAACCTAAAAAGAAAATTTAACAGTGTGAGGTTTGTAATTCTTATAATTCTTAAATAGAATTTTTTTTGCAGGCATTTCCCGGTTATGTTGTGATACAAGAAGAAATGTCAGGACTTCTGCTTTAACTTATCTTCAGAGGGCCTTACTAGTGCATGACCTTCAAGCTCTAACTCCATGTGAATGGGAAAGTTGTTTTAATAAGGTTTGTTCTTTTATGGTGTTAATGATTTCACTTATGTTCAAGTAGATTATAATATACCACATAACTACTAGATAATAATATACTATATGACGCATATGTAGTTCAAATAAAATTCAGTAAATAGCGGAAATTGTAAATAATAATAAAGTAATGAGATTAAAAAGCAGTTATTTAGTAGGAAATGAATAACTTTGTAGGTTTTATTATTTTTATCAAAAGTTGCTTCAGTGTATTGTTCCAGCCTAAATCTGTAGTTGATATGCATTAAAGGGAGTTAAGTCTCATTAGATGGAGTCAAAAAATCTTAGAGTATCTAAATGTTGTTTCTTTTACTTGTAGTTTTAATTTTTTGTAAAAGCACTAACAAATTTTTATAACAATTCCTTCCAAAATAAAAATACCTAAAGGATTCATTGAAGCATCACCAACCCATCCTAGGGTGTTATTGCATTTTGATAGTTATACCTGTGATTTATTTATACCTTACTTACCTCAGGTCCTTTTCCCATTGTTATCCAAACTTCTTGAAAACCTATCTCCACAAGATCCCATTGGAATGGAGGAGACACGGATGAGAGGAGCTACTCTGTTGTGTAAGGTATGTTTTCTTCATGTGGAACTCTATCGGATTTATTATATGCTGCTATAAAAGTATTGTTTAAGACTTATACGTCATCTGAGACAAATTATTAAGGTTAAAATGAAATATTTCTTTTTCACGTGCTTCTTCTACCATGCTTTGCATATAGAAAATAAATTTATTATTGCAAATACAGTACTGGTCAAAAAGTCTGAGTCCAAATTACACAAGCCTGTGATGGTTTTATTGTCTTGAAATTTTTATATGTTCTACAGTAATTGCTGTACACTGAATCCCAAAATCATATTCATTTTTCTCCATCATGTACAGATTTTTCACAAAATGTTGTACATACTTTTATATAAGTGAATCATTTTCATTGAAATCGGGTCACATTTTGTTATGCTTAAAGTGTTGACAAGCACTGGCTATACATTTCTCTAGACCAATCATGATGAAAAAGTCTTATCGATTGTTCTAGAACAAACAAGAAACTTGCATAATAATAAAAAATTTCATTGTGGTAAACAAAATAATTATTTATACAAGAGTTTTGTTTTTCTTCCCGATTTGTAAAAAAATCCTTACATGATAGAAAAAATATATTATTTTCAAAATCTGAGTAGCTGAATTATGGTGTCTCAAAATGAACTTAAGCTGAATACTCGGTATACAGTTAACATACAAACTAAAAGGACACTTATCTTTTGTAACCTTGTATGAAACTTCAGTTGTTGATAACACAGTCCTGTGAATTTAAACTTCATAAAAGTTGTTTTGGTTTTAAAGATGGATTTTTAAACAGTCAGTAATTAGCAGGTCCTCTTGTAGTCATAAACATATGACTATCATTGGAGATGGGTGTTTCAATTTTATAGACTGGTGACCAATATTTCTTTCCATTCGTGTTGTATAGTCTCCCAAAGTTACCATAAATTAATTAGATTTTCTTCAGCAACATTGCTTTGAAACTGGTACCACAAATTTCAATATGAATTAGCAATTGGGCTTTGGGCTAGCCTTTTAATAAATTTCATAGTACTAGTTCTTTCTATTATCACACATCTCTTACTCAAGTGATGTTACCCTCTCGTTGCGATATTTTATTGCATGTTCTTTCATCTTATTAGATGTTAAACTTCCAGTTACAGCAAAATATTATAATGTTCTTTGAACTACACCCTTCAAAATACACCACTTAGTTTATTTTTTCGCTACGTAAATTAAGAATATGTGCTAATTTTTGACAAATTGTTTCAAAAGTCCTGTTTATTGTTCTCTGTTTTAGCTATATTTAAAGTTGGAAAGTCTCTAGATGATGTTGGTACATTACTGGCTTGAAAAACTGTCATTATGAAAATGTGTCACTTAATCCAAAGCTAATGCTGAATAATTGTTTTAATTCTAGTTACAAAACAATTTGTGGCTGCAATAAAAAAAGAGGCTGTTAGCGTTTTGTCAAGAGTGATTCCCATGCTTGCAGATTCTTACAGCAAAATTTGTCGTTCCTATTATTGGAACGATACTTATAGTACCTAATGTATAATGTTAAAAACTTTAGTTTTGGTTGGAGGAAAAAATATTAATTATTTTTCTTAACTTCTTAATTGTACGTATTTAAAAAATAAATCAATGTCTGCAGTACCAACTACTTATCCTTCAAATATAAAACATTATATATATAGAAGCTGTGTAAATTTTATACCTTGATTTTAGTCATGTGGATGCATAAACCAAACAAAAAAAAGTCATTCAAATTATTTTAATTACATATTAAGCTTCACTGTATTTGATTTTTTATTGAGGTTATCTTTATTTGCAATATATATTCAACATATACTTTGAAAGTATTATTGTGTACTAGGCTGATTTTTTTTTTGTGTGTGTGTTTCAGGTGTTCTTGCAGCACTTAAACCCACTTCTGAGTCTTCCAACTTTTACAGCTTTGTGGTTGACAATATTAGATTTTATGGAGAAGTATATGAAAACTGATGGCAGTGATCTTCTGGTAGAATTAGAAATATTCTAAATAATTATTTTTTCTCTTTAAACACTTGTCAGTATGCATAATTAATTTTTGAGTTTCTTCTAAAAACTGAAAGATCTAAAAACTTTTTTCCCATTTCATACAAATATAATGCTGAAAATAAAATTCATCTTTTCAATTTGTTTAATAGATATATAAACAATTCCAAATTAGAAAATGGGTCCTTTTATAAAATCATTGAACTGTACTTCAACATTAAATTTGTCTGTTTTGCTTGATAGAATGAAGCTATCCCAGAATCCCTCAAGAACATGCTTCTGGTTATGGACACTGCAGGAATCTTTCAACGACCCGAAGAAGGTTATGGTCCAGCAAATTGTCAACTGTGGTTGATAACGTGGGACCGGATCCATGCTTTCCTTCCTGGTCTTAAAGATGAAGTTTTCAAACCACCCCCTTCCCCACTTCCACATGTTTCTACAGAGTCTTTGAGTAAGGAAGCATCACCAGACAAGGAGAGTTTAAATACCATGTCCAAGACCACCCTTCAACAACAACAACAGAAAACAAGTGAAGACAGTAAAGGTAGGTATAGTCAAATTGTGGAAATGATTGTCTAGGAACTTTTATTTACTTAGTTGACATAACAAGAGAATGTTAATTCACTAAAAAGCCAGCGGATTGTATGAATTAAAGTAAAACTAAAGTAAAGATGATAGTTGCAGTGTTCAACTAAGAATATACGACACATTCTGTGAATACCGTGCAAATGTAATAAATTGTGCAAGCTTCTATAGATACAATGTTAAAATGAGGAAAGGTGATGACTGCCATAAATGCAGTGATGAACTATGAAGTTTCACACTATCCATACATGCCGTCTGCTGTTTTTCAACTGCTTACAAGAAACATCAGCTCATAAGAAATTTTGCATTTTAATTTTTTACTAGTATTATAGGGATAAAAAATATTTGAAGATAATTATTTCAATGTACATAATGTATGATATATATATTAATATATTAATAGTATGCATGAAATTAATACTAATGTAATTTGATCTGCTTGTGCTTTCATTATAGCTTTTTTTACACTTTTCTTGCAGTGCCTCCTCCACCACAGCGTTGTCCAATGGTACAAGACCTTGTTCCGGAAATAAATACAAAAGACAAACTGAGTGGTCCAAGCACCCTGACATCTGCTCCTGACCTTCCTTCTTCGGTTATTTTACATCCACCAGCTTTCACAATATCTCCTCCTCCCCCTATATCTACACATGTGCACACAACAACCTCGACAGTTCCTTTGTTGCTCAACCCGTCTGTCATGGGCCACATTAGTCCTCAGGTAATAGATATTACAGACAACAGAAAACTATCTTAGGGAACTAGTAGCACTGAAGTCAGTTATAGCTGTGTTTTGATTTGATCAAGCATATTTTGTAAAACTAAGTATATGTACGTATATGTGTGTGTGTGTGTGTATATACATATATATATATATATATATATAAGAGATATTCAAACATGTCACGAAAACCTTCCAGTCAAACATTTTTTCAAAAAATCTTGTATTAGTAAGTACTTTTTTTTTTTCAGTGGCGTGTTTCAGACCTCATCAAATTATTAAAAAATATATATATATATCTGGCAAAGTTTCATTGAATTTATGTTCACCTGAAACTAAAAACATTGCCAGCTCTGATTAGATGGTACAGCTGTAATATGTGATATATCTAGAACATACTTGTAATCAACTGGATTCAGAAGAATCTCTGCTAGGAATTATTTCATCCGCAGGGTATATGAAACTGTCCTGTTTCATAATATCATATGCATGCATGTAGAAAATTAATATATATGTATTAATTAGTTCTTGAAAACTGTACAAATTGTAAAATGGTAATTTTCAAATCCTACCATTTTTTTTCCTCCCCCCTTCAAAATGTAAAGTTGGTGTTTGTGTATTTGTAGTGTCATTTACATTCAGCTATACTTAAACAGAAAAGTAGTTGGTATTAAATATGCAAGTATATAAAGCTATTAATCTAAAGATTTAGTATTTTTTTTTCTCATTCACCTCTATTTTTCTCATTGGTTTATAAAAGGAGAACCCTAATCAATCTAAATAAGTTTATTAAGATATTAAGCTCTTTTTTTTTTCATCTAAAATAAGTACCAGAAAATATGTTTTGATTAATAATGACAAATTAATAATGTTAAGGAAGTGGTAACCTTAAAAGTAAAATGTAAGCATGTTATAGTAAATGTAGTTTAATGTGTAAGGGATTCTTCTGTGTATATATTTATATATACTTTTACTGTGTGCTTTCTATAAATGTTGAGATCAGCTTTTGGACAATTATCTGTTACTCCACTTGACAAATGTTATTTTTCCAGACATTACCAAGACATCCTCCTTGCGAAACGAAAGATGAAAGCTTCCTGGGCAGTTAATCTGATGTTTCTACAGATGTATAAATTTATACTACTAAAAAAAATCATTACCTTCATAATTATATATAAATAACTCCCTTAAATATATGTAAATGATAGATTATTATAGTAATGCCTTTCAGCATGCTTTACTTGTAACGTATTTTGGAAGGTATTGAATTTTTTTAGGAAAGAATATATACATGTGATTGGAATGTTTTTTAAATGAATATTTCTTCTACTGGTTCATGTTTCACTTATTTTTTTTTATTGCTTGACTTCATGCATTCCAAAATTTCGTGTTCTGTACCTTATATAGACATTCTGGGGCTTATCAGACTTCTTGAGTGTGAAAACTTGATGACAAATAACAGACTTTCTCTGTAACTTTTGTTTTGGAAGTGTGAGTGTATTTGTACGGTGTTGTTTAAGTTTACTTATCAAGCAAGAAATGTGCTTTGGAGAGAAAGAGATAGAGAAAAGATGTTGGCACACAAGAAACAATGATGTTAGCTTCTAATTTAATCAGCATTTTTTTTAAAAAACGATCTTTTTTTGACTAATCTTAAAGTACTTAAAATATAGCAGTAGATGAAACTAATTGTTTACCAAATAATAAATTCTGACTTTTCTAAACCTAATTTTGATATAGCATCCAAATTGCAGTTAATAGCATTTTCAGATTGAAAGTGCTGGTATTCTGTACTACTAACATGGAATGTTTTAATATATGTGTCTGTTTTGTAAATTTAAAGCTATTTGTAAAAAAAAAAAACTTAATTACAATGAATTGTATGACTTCTGTCAAGTGGAATGCATTAGGCTAATTTTAAGGTAGTCATGAAATTCTGGTGTGTCGTGAAACGAGGTAGCGAAAAACATCACATAAAAAGTTTTTAAAAAGTGAAGTTTTTGTCATATTAAAAACAGTTTTTGTCATCCAAAATTCTAATATAGGTCCAAGTTTATAAAAATGTTACATATTATCTATAATGTTTGACAGAAAATACTTGACAAATTTTGGCACTTCATTTTTTCTTCTTCTTTCTCTTGTTTCAAATTTGTCCCCTGGTGGGTCAGCAGTAAATTTACAGATTTACAACGCTAAAATCTGTGGTTCGACTCCCAATGATGGACACGGCTGATAGCCCAATATGGCTTTGCTCTAAAACAAACAAACAAAATCTTTCAAATTAAAGGTTTTTCAATGTGATGAAAAATGTTCTTCTTATGATGATGATGATTGCCTTATCATTTAATGAAACGTGGTAATTCTGATTAGTATGTATACTTGTTAGCAAAAGATTTGTTCCGAGTACTAGTGCCCATGGGTATTTAATCCCATTGTCTTGAAGAAAGTACTAGTTCTCTTGGATTATTTGTTAACAGTATATGGATAAAAAATACTAGATATGTGGAAAGCACTGATTAATATCAATTTGCAGTAGATTTATTAAAGTAGTGATTAGCATGAATACTTGTTCCAAGTGATACTTTTTTACAAAACACCTGAAAATAGTACTGGTTCTTATTCCCAAGGTTATCATACACTTGTTCTCAGCAAGTTTAGGAAGATACTGGATAGCATGGGTACTTTTTCATGGTTAGGAACATGAAAGAGTACTGGTTAGTGTGAATACCTGTTCAGAACAGTTGTGAGAGTACTAGCTGTCTTGAACACTGGTTCACAGCAGCGTGAACAAACTGGCTTTCATGAAAACTTGTTCACAACAAATGTAAGAGAATGGTTATCATGAAAACTTGTTCACAACAAATGTAAGAGAATGGTTATCATGAAAACTTGTTCACAACAAATGTAAGAGAATGGTTATCATGAAAACTTGTTCACAACA